GGGGTTTAGGGTCTAGGGTTTGTTTTAGAGTTCTACTTGGCTCCACCCGGCTTTGTTTGAAGTCGTGGTTGTTTTTGTCAGGCTATGACAGACAGCTGGTCAAGCAGAATCTTGATGTGGATTAGCGTTCCGTGTGCCGTTTGCGTCACTACTATTTCTATCCCCACCACAACCCTAAACCCTAAGCCGCTGTTTTGTCTTGAAGTATCGCAATGGCCGCTGTGCTCTTTCTTCCGGTTACCCTGAACCCTAAACCAAAACCCTGAACCCTAAACCCACAACCGTAAACAAGTGTGCTCGGACAATGCAGCTCAGGTTGGTTTGAGGTCTGGTTGATCGGAATGTGTTCATCAGTTTTGTAGAAGGGTTTAGGGTTAAGGGTGTGCGCGCGCTGATTACCGCGCTGTAGTGTAAAGACATGAACACCCCAAGACCACCCACCCATACACAACTCACGCTGAGCCAAGACGGAGCTAGCCAGAATCCAAGCCAAAGCCAGCACCATCAAACAAATTGGCTTTCACAGATATGGATCCTTTGCACTGGGGTACGTTCTGGGCCGAAGGGTTAACGGCTCTACAAGTGTTCTCATGATTCTACAAGAGTTTCGCAGGAGGATTTCGGGCAGCGCGCTCGCTCGTTGCCAGCTTTGCTTGCAGCACTCCTTACACGCAGTCTACAGCCCCAAACCTGAGTCACTGAAGCCCCGCGTGTCAGGGCACACTGTACACCCTGCGCCAAAAGGCCTAATCTCAAATCCCTGAGTTGCAAATTGAGCTTTTGTTCTCCCAGGTATGGACGCAAGTGTCGACAACCAACGGTGCGGGGGCCTTCCCTCAGTTTCTGGGCCGCATCGCCGTTTTCGGTGTATCCCGGTTTTGGGGCTGCGAAGCTTGAGCGTGACGATCAAGACATGCGTGCTTGTAGCAACGGATCATGAAGGTCATCATCTCAATGCTTTCTAGCAGACGGTCAGCACGCGGCCTCCTGCGACTCATGGTAGCCACTGCAAGAGTTCTATATAGTAGTGAGAACGTGAGAGCACCGAATGTATGGCAAGCGAGCAACGTCAGGAGTACGAATAACTGCAGTCGTGACAGTGATGGAATGCCTTCAGAAGAAGGAAGACGAAACCCAAGAGCTGGAGCGTTAGTGAAAAAGACGCTGGCGATCACCATGTGAACTTCAGCATTGATGTTAACACTAACTGTAGCAATCAGAGCAGTACTTGCAGGAAGCAGTTGTATTTGTAGGTGTGACAACCATGCTAGAGAGCTGTGGTCAATGGTATTCTCTAGTTCTAGTAACTAGTAACCACGAGGTTGCGGTTGTATTGGCAATACTGACACGTGCAAGAGCAGTGCAGAAGATTTAGAAGTAGAAGTAGAAGCAGGTCTTTTTTGGTCGCAGCAGTAGTAGTATCAGTAGCAGTAGTTGTAGTTGTAGTACTTGGAGAAGTAGTGGCAGTAGAAGTGGTAGAAGAAGTACTAGTAGTCATAGCGGTAGTGGTAGTGGTAGTAGTAGCAGCAATAGTAGTAGTAGTAGTAGTAGTAGTAGTAGTAGTAGTTGTAGTTGTAGTTGTAGTGGTAGTTGTAGTTGTAGTTGTAGTTGTAGGTGTAGTTGTAGGTGTAGTAGTAGTAGTAGTAGTAGTAGTAGTAGTAGTAGTAGTAGTAGTAGTAGTAGTAGTAGTAGTTGTTGTTGTTGTAGGTGTAGTAGTAGTAGTAGTAGCAGTAGTAGTAGTAGTAGTA